ATCCACGATTTTTACCTTGAACTGTAGCAGGATTCTTTTGGAGAGCTGTTAACCCTGTTGGTGCATATGGCAAGGGGTGGGTTTCTCACTTAGCTACCCAATTTCTTGCTTTGACCAGCTCACCCAACAGCTGGCTTTGCACTCTGGAATTAAAAGAATGTGGCCCAAATAAGAAATGGTCTCCTGAGTCGCTGCCAAATGACACTTAGGTCTCCGCCTACAGCATGTGCATGTGCCATCCCTTCTTTGTGCCAGTCCTGTCACACCCTAGCCTCACAGTTCTTTAAGGGCTATTTGGATAATAAACATGCTGAGCCCAGACTCTGCAGGGACAGTGTAAGCTGATACACCAGACTGGGAAGCACTACCGCAGGGAAAGAGTCACGTGTTCCTGTTTGGTCTGGTATGAAGTGAAGGGCCACCTCCAACAGGGACATTCCCTGGGAAGCAGTGCTGCCCAGAGCTGTTGTAGGGGTTTGCTTCAGGGTATGTGAGACACACGCTGTCTTTAGGTTACACAAGGGTGCTGCTCCTGCAATTCTTTAGAAGCCAGTCAAGTGTGCAGTGACAGTGGGTGCTGTGCCAAGAGTTACTGTCCTTGCCCTGACATGCTTTTAGTCCCTGCTAGGCAGCACACTGCGCTGGGGCGCATGTGTGGTCTGATTTCCAAATAATAATTCTGATTTCTAAAACTCAAACGAGAATTTTAACACATCGGGGACCAACAGTGAGTGGTCTGTGGTTAATAAGGAGAGAGAAACTAAGTGGCAGTATTACTTTCTTAGTAGTACTGGAAATGCTACAGGCATTTTGAATTAAGAATTCTTGTCCTGCTAAATCACATTTTGCTGTAAGTCAAATGTCATCCTGCCAAAATAGCATTGATTTCACCAGATTAAAACTAGAATTAGGTGAGTAACTTGTACCTGTGTTTCAGGCTGGGGAGAAGGATGTAAGGGTAACATGCTTTCCTCTCCCATTTAGTCTGGGGATTTGTTTTTTGTTGTCAGTGGTGCTTCTTCCCCACAGATGTCTAGGGAATGCTCTGGTCTTCTTCTCTGACAATTTGTTCCAGAAATCATAACTGAATTTCTTTTATTTGATGTTCTGAAATGGCAGGTCAAACATGCGCAACTTCAGAAAACCACGGGGAAACAAACAGATCCTCATCTTAACTGTGTTACCAAGAAGCCTCATAGCCTAGAGAAATCCAAACTGATTTCTTGCAGGTCTACAAAAAAGCCTAACATTTAAAGGCAGGTAGAGGTAGTCATTCTGCGGTTTTAATATTTGATTCCTGGAACAATGTCACTGAGGTGAGCTGCCTGCTTGCAGAGGAATGTACGTTGTAATAGACTAGTTATCAAAAGGTTGTGCTGAAGGGAGGAACAGCCAATAACAAACACCATGCATAATGAAAGTACTACTTATTTTTTCTTTCTTTCTTTTTTTAAAGAAAACTCCTTCTATGTTATTAGATATTCTAAAGCCTAAAGAGTCTATGTTACACAGAAGAGATGTAAAGAATTTAAGCTGAGGTTGCACTCAGTGCTGGATAATTGTCTCATCATTCTAAGAGTATAAAACTGCTCAGTTAAAGCAGCTTGAATGCATCGGAATTCTGATCTGTTTGGAAAACGCAGGAAGGATACAGAAGACCAGTTTCTTCCCTAGAACTGTGCAGCCAAAATATCCCATAGCTGTTTCTGAATTGATGCTGATGAACTGAGAAAGCATTTTGTTAATATTCAACAGAATAAACCAAGACCTAACCAGCTTGTCCACACAAGAGATTGCCACACCTGAAAATGCTATTGTACCCCAGTGAGATATGCAGAACAAAGACTGTTCTTTACTGAAACTTAAAAAGAAGCCAAGAGGAAACAAAATCCTCCCAGTACACTCTACATGTACACCCCTGTATTTCTGTCACCTGTTTCTAGGCCACAGCTGAGCATGCAGGGGAGACCTCAAGTGGTTGTCTTCTGAACTTAACTGCAGTGAAAATTTGTGGCAATTGTGAAAATTGAAATTGTAAAAAAATAAAAATCGGATGTGGAGCCCAGAATTAATGTTTCAGCATTGAGTCATGGGAATCTCTCTCTGAGAGAACACTCATCCCTGCTGAGCCAGACAGGGACTGCCAGAGCATGGTTATGCTCAATCCTTACAGAATTTGGGATTCATCTGAGACATGGAGAGGGATAAGCCTCTAAAGGGGTACCTGGAGCAAATTACAGACGGAGAGGAAAAAGCAGAAAAAATTAAACCTCTGCTGGCAAAGCTTACAACACAGCCTTTAAAGTTCATACCAGGAAAATACATGCAAAGTCACCTTCCCATTATGAGACAAGCTTACTATGGTTGGATTTTACTTAAGATTAAGCAGAGAAGTAACCATTCCAGGTAGCCTTGGTCTAGCACTGTGGTGTTTTGGTGCTTTTTATTTATCAGGCCCTACCATTTTTCCAGTGGTTAAATGAAATCTGAAAATTTCACACGCAGCAGTGTTTATCTTCCTGGCAAAACAACCCAACTACATGTCAAACATATGACTTCTAAACACCAACAAATAAATGCCAATTTCTGTTTTGGTTTTTTTTTTTTTTTTCATAGTGCTTCTTGGCAAAACACCACTCAATGAGAATGCAAGCTCTTTAACCACAAAATTTTTAAAAATTTAGCCATCTTTCACCCTGTCTTCAGCCCATACACAAT